CCTTGATGTTTGTGGTGTATATTAATGACTTAGACTTGAATGTAGGAGGGTTCATCAGTAAGTTTGCAGATTATATGAAAATTGATGGTGTGGTAAATAATAAGAAAGGTAACCTTAAATTACAAGAGGATATGGATGGGCTATTCAATGGCAAATGAAATTCAATCTGGATAGGTGTGAGGTGATGCACTTGGGTAGGACAAATGTGTCAAGGGAATACGTGATGAAAAGTAGGACCCTGGGAAACACCGAGGATCAGAGAAGTCTTAGTGCATGCCCACTGGTCTCTTAAGGTAGCAGGGCAGGCATTTAAAGTGGTCAAGCAGGCATATGGGATACTTGCCTTTTATTGGCTGAGGCATGTAGTTTAAGTGCAGGGAGTTTATGCTGGAACTGTATAAAATATTGGGTAGGGTAGTATGTGCAGTTCTGGAATTTACTTTTGTAGGAGGGATGTGATTGCACTGGAGAGGGTGCAATGGAGATTTATAAGGATGTTGCCTGGACTGGAGAGTTTTCATTTTGAAGAGAGACTGGATAAACTACGGTTGTTTCCTTTGAAGCAGAGGAGCCTGAGGGGGTGCATGATGGAAATGTATAAAATTGAGGGGCTTTGACTGAATTGAACTTTTCCCCTTGGTGGTAGGATTAATGATCAAGAGGGATAGATTTCGGGTAAGGGTCAGGAGGTTTGAGAGGGTGGCGGGAACCTGGAACTAGTTTCCCGTAAGGTGCTAGAGGCAGAAACCCTCATTACATTTAAAAAGTATTTGTATTTGCACTTGTGATACCATAGCATAATTATGGGCCAAGTTCTTAAAAAATGGAATTAGAAGAGTTAGGTTGTTATTTTTGACCAGTACAGATTTGATAGGCCAAAGGGCCTTTTTCTGTGCTGTAGACCTCTATGACTGTACGATATGTGTATCAAGGAGGTAACTAAACAGGTTATGGCATCAAATTTATGGTGACAAGCTTTTAAAGAACATTTAGTAGTCCCATTTAATGACTTTTCATTATACAGCACACTTTGTACTGATCGCAGAAACCCTGGCTGAACATAATGGGTTGTCTGCATCTGGAGGAGAAAGATGGGTTATATTTTCAAATAAGATCCTTTCAAATTTTAACTAATTGCAAATATTTACAACTGAGATTAAATAAATTTTGAATTGTAAATGAGTAATGATATTTCAGAGTTTGGGTCCTCTAGCAGGAGTTAATGTTTAACTCCTTGTTCATCCTTGGGAGTAGCCTCTATAGCACGGAGTCCGGACTTGTGCAATTGCTTGGGATGAACGTAGACCAAAAATAGTTTAAATTTTCCATATCTGCTTTGTCAAGTCATACTTCAGAAGGAGATGGATTGCAGTACCTTCTCCACCACAGCTGCCTCGTGTGCAGGGGTAAAATTTCTGGCAGTCGAAAGGATCTGACCGGGTAGACGTTCCTCACCATGAAAGGAGCTGTGTTTTGGAGCTTGTTTGAAAGTTCTGGTGAAGAAGTATTTTTACCACTTAACTTTGACAGTCTGCTCAAGTAACCATCTGACAAGATCTTGTTTACTTTTCCCATATTGTCTTAATGATATGCAAACTACTGACTGACTTGTGGTCAGGGTGTTTTTCTGCATAAACTTTTCCAAAAGGAATGGTGGCGCTCATTCCTAAATGACTGGAATGTTGTGAGCATTGTGGGCGCAGCCATCCTTCACCATACCATGCACACACACACATCAGGTGTCACCACATTGCTGGTGTTCAGTTTACAGTTTTTGTGTAGCTGCACACAGAAGTAGTCACCGGAAGGAGAATGAAGTTCTTTTTCTCTCTATATACATGGAAACATTTGTACGTTGACTCTGTGTCTTTGTCTTTGTGGCCATGATCCATTTTAGATCCTCAGGTAAAGCTAAAGATGAATTGGGTGACCACCATGGAGTAGGAGTGGAGAATATACCAGACCTCTCCTAGGTAGATCAACGTCAAGACTGGCTAGCACCTGTTGATCAGGTTCTTGCCTGGAATGGTGAGGGAATCTGGCTTCTATTTCACCCTGCCCTTGTGCACCTGCTGGTTTCTGATGCATTCCTCAGCCCCTCCCAACCACATCCCCAGCATCTTTGGCCATCTGCCCTGGTGGTAAAAGAGAACAAAAAGATCAGTTGGCTGAATTCCCTTACTATGATTTACTTTGTCTCCTGTTCTAGGTCAAACTGGTTTCATGTGCACATCAATCTGCATACTAAGAGTGGATCTGAGCAGATGATATAGCATTGTCAGCTGTGCACAAAGAGGTTTTGACTTGTGTACCCCTACCTTCGGTTGTCACTCCTCTTCTCTTCTGTCCACTTCCTTACTGATGCTGTCAACAAAAACTGTCACAGCAAATAAATAATCATTATAATTTAGCCTTAGTGGAGAATCTTCATTGCTAAGCTGAAATGTCTCCGGTGCCAGGTTCCCAATTACGACATCCAACTGTGTTAGTGTATGTATTGCCTCAGGACTGAAATAGAGATGCTGAAAGTCCGTTCTCTGAAGCTTTTAGGGGCTATTAAGCAATGGTGTCTGGGTCAGTACTGGAGTAGATGTTACTAAAAGTGTATATCTGATATAGGTGTAATCTGCTTTATTGGGTAGAATTTCAAAGACCATAATGAGACCACTTTGACTAAGGTGCTTAGTTCTTTTATTCCCTCCAGAGATTAATTAAGAGTATAAAATATATCTTTGGTTGACTGTCAGTTAACAACTTATTTATACCATTAGTGATTTGGAAAATGGTGTAATTTCGGTTAAGAATCTATTTTGAGAAGAAATGTTGCAGTATTACTTTCAGTTAAAAATTTAGCACAGCTCATGGGTAAAAGTAAGTTAGATTTGTTATTAAATCAAGATGATTTGATCCCAATGAGACATTTATTTGCCTGTTCCTACTCTTTGAATTCTCTGGTCATGAGTAACCCCAAACACCACTTTCTATCCTTTTATGCTCATCTGCTATCTCTGTTATAGTAAAATTTTCACATGCTGTATTTGTAAACATACCAAGTCTTCTTGCTGAAATTTGTTGTGCTGAAATTTACTTCCAGCGTTCGGAGAGATTTTACCTATCGGGGTATACTCGGGTCCAAGACTGCTTACATTTCATTGTTTCAAAATGTGCCAGCAATGAGCTCATTGCAAGGAGTCCAATCGGGCACTTTGCATGGTTCAAGGATCACTGGATGTCTTCAAAGGTTACAGACAGTTAGCAAGTACTGAAGCTAAACTATACTTTCTATTTACGGAAATTGGAGGGGTCGAGCAGCTGGATAGCTAGGTAGTGTTAAAACTCAGCTACCTTCTAATTCTTAGAGTATGTCACTAAGTGTTGGAGTCAGGGCAGAAGAAATCCTGCAATGCTGAGAAAGTGGGAAGGACATTGACTGTGGCGGAGGCAAGTTATTGTCTTGGATTATGCCTGCGAGCAGTGTGTTTGAGAAAGTGAGGATTGGAAAAACGCTTGACCAATATTTTCTTGGTGTACCAGTAAGATTAGAGTATGTGTTGTATGAGACTGAGGAAGTTCTGAGGCACAGTCACAAGATTTGAAATATTAACTTTTTTCTCTCTGTAGATGCTACAAGACCTGCAAAAGTTCCTCCAGCAATTTCTGTTTTTAATATTATGGGAGGGTTGGTTTAATCAGTTGGTCTAAGAGATAGCTATTAAGGGATGCATTATATTTCAGAAGGCCCTTGCGCACTGCACTTAGATGCCTGAAGGCTGCAGTTGAAATGAGGTGAAGGTATTGGTGTTGCACAACAAATGGAAAGTTCAATTGGGGTGGAAGAGGAGGGCTTCTAGGGTTGATTTGAGGTTATAGAGTTCAAGGAGGGGGCATGGCAAAGAAAAAATAAATGGTGGGGAGAAAAAGAACTTGTATTACATTGCACCTTATTTTCTCAGGGAATGCCAATGCATTTCATAGTCACTTAATTACTTCTTAATTGAAGCGAATTTGCAATGATATTGCCTTGTGATACCAGTCCATCTGTGTGACTGATGATTGAGAATATTTTGATCAACAGTGGTTCCCCACATGCAAGAATAGCCTGCGAAACCACTGAGCCTCTACTCACCCTGTACCAGTAGGGACAGTTTTGTTTAGTTTCCAGCATGAATGCTTGATATCAAGCATTCAGTGGAATTTAAATGATATCTAACCTGTATTTAAAGGCCGAGGTTGAATCTGAGACAGTATAGTTGATCTGTGTTGCTGTACTTTGCAGGCAGCTAATGGAGCAGCAGATCGAATGACCTCCCTACATTTGTCTAAAGCACTGTGGTCTCGTGATGTATACTTTTTTTTGCTGGCGGGTAGTGTTTCTCTATGCTATATGGTATGAATATAAACGGTGTGTTGTAAGGTGGTGAGTGTAGGAATCAGGATTTTTTGGCTTTCCCTTGTCTCAAATGGTAATGATATGTCATCTTTTTGAGTTACTGTTGTCTAATAGCTTGACTAGTATGGTTAATAGCTTTGTCAGGTTTGGTGTGGTTGTTGAAATGTGTTTGTTAAAGTTTGTCTTTGGCTATAATTTTCTTTTGACGCTGATTATCTGGGAAACACTATATTTATGTGATTCTAGATCAGATGAAGTCTGTCAACGTGACAGTAACATGAAGCTCTGATGCTTGGACCTCCTTGCATCTGGTACTTTGTGAATTGAAAACAGGCTCCTTTCTCACTCTTGAAATTAAAGATAATCTTATTTTTAATAGTAGAAAAATCACTGTAGTATAATTTCTAGTATTGTCTCTTTCTTCCACTAAGATGCTCCTTTATTCTGTACCGAACCCTATTTTCTCCTCGAGATTGGTGTTGATTGTACATATTTAATATTCCTATTAAATTCCTTGGGATGTTCACCCAAATTAACAGACTAAGCGCAACTTCTTGCGTGAAGCATTTTCTGTTATTCTGCTGAAAAATGTTCTTTGTTTAATTTTTAGATATTGACTTTTGAAACCAAAAATCCTGAAGAGCTAGCAGAACGCTTGCGAGCTGTGTGTGGAAACCAGAGTAATGCATATGCACGACTACTTGAATACCGTCTCAATGCGCTTAGAGGCCTGTGGAATGCACAACGACAGTTAGCACTTGAAGAGCAGCATGAGCGTGAAAACTCGAGTGATGAAGAGACCATGTCCTTGCTGAAACGGCAGGGCTTGCTGCAACAACCAGAACAGGCACCATTTACTTCTCGCATGGGCCTCTTATTAGTGTTCCCTTTGATCCAGTCACAAAGTAAAACTGATCCTTCTCTCTGTAATATCACTGCTGAGGTGCTCCTGAACTGCCTGAGAGATTGTCAGCCTCTGAGCCTTACAAAAGAACCTGCTGACTGTCTGAATGGTCTGGAAGCCCTTCTCTGCTCCTGGTTAGAAGAATCACCTGCTTTGGGTCAATCGATCCCATGGAAACAGAAAGAAAATGCTGCAGCTGCATTGGTAGCTCTTGCCTGTGCAAGGTAGGAGCATCCTGGTATATTTTTGTCCAAGTAGAAATGTTCTTAATATACTTGATTACAATGTCTTCAATAACATTGTCATCTTTATTCTGTAAAATGTGGTGATGTGAAATAATATTTTGGTGCATGTTAATCAACAAATAAATGCTGCATAAGAATGTTTGCTTAATGACTCTGATAATTTGTATTCATGATTACAATATTTGTCCTCTACATTCCATGGAGCATGTTATCTCTCTCTATACCTATTACAAATTACCAATGTGTATAGTGATGTTTTTAGTGGTGGATGGGCTGCCTCTATAAAAAGACTGCAGGTGGTACGAGTTATTTTAAATAAAACAGAAAATGCTGCAAGCAGTCAGTTGGCACCTTAAGGAAAAATAGGTAACAGACTTAAAATCTCAAAATTTGTCTTTTCTGTTTGCAGATGGACTGGTTGTGTACCTTTTTTTTAGATTTTGAGCATTTGCAATTTTACTTTTTAATTTTATTTACTCTCTCCATTCTTCTTTGTGAACTACAGGATTTTAATATGAAATTGTATCAAAAATAGCTTGGATTCCATACTTCAAGTTCTCTAATTGGAAAATGCCTTGTCTGGAACTGAGAAAGCACCAAGTCACTTGAGACTTGTTCTTGGGGCACATTTGGATGCCTTCTACCCAAATATCCAATTTAATTGCAAGGAGGAGAATACAGAAAACAACCAACATGTATGAACAAATAACCAGTTGTGGAAGGAGCTCTCTGCTGTCTACTCCAAATGGATGTCAGAGAGTTAAAACAAATTGGTTCAATGCCTAAATCCTTCCTGCTGCTATGCAGGTGTGGGTTTCAGAGAGCCTACTGTGTCAAAGTGCTTCTGCAGTTACCATGTTATCAGACAGAATATTGAGTTATATATTGAAATTGCTGCTTAATTGCAATATTCGGCTACTGTATTTGACCAGAACTGAATTATGATTCATTAATTTAAAATGGTAATTTGCCGAACAATACTGCAAATTGCTGTGTTTCCTAACTTTATATCACTGGGTGGCATTTCTCAATTTGTTGCCTTAGGTGTATGGACTTTGAGCTGAATGTAGGTTTTGAGCTGTTCATTTTTCCCCATTGACTGACTGGATTAATGAGAACTCGTCATGTACCCTGGAATTGAAGTTTGTGGCTGCAGTAGAGACTTTGCCACACGAGTATTTGCTGTCAAGGCCATCAACTAGCATCTTGATATTGTGTGACAATTTGCAATCCCCACTGATCCTGTCCTCTCCATCTAATGTTTCTTCCACACATCATAAATTATTGATCATCTTGCTCACCACTAATTGAGTACAATTTGTTCTTTTTTCCCCGCTTCCATTTTGTATTTAGGAATACCGGTCAACTGGTATTTTAACTGTTGACGAGCAATCATTTCCTTCATTCAGTGCTGGAATTTCCCTCATTCATCTTTCCCATTCCCCTAAGGCAGTGTTAAACCAGTTATTAGTATTGAATTTAGATAAAGTAGAAACAAATTTGCTCAAATGTGAATCTGTATTAGCTGTCTTAATGGTTTCCTTAACCAGCAGTTAGTTGGTACAAAAGGTTGTGGCTGTGATTCGTGCATTTAAAGGAAAGAACCTCTTTGTATTTACCTTACATTAGTCTAAGTCTGTTCAATTGCTGTAGGAACATATTTGGCTAGCTAGATGGTCAACAACACATTCAAATTGTTGCTAATTTTCTGCACGAACAGCTCTGTTAACTGTAGTGATCAATGTCCAATGACCAAGTATATGCAGCTGGTGATCTAGTTCCTTTTACAGCAAGATTTGGAAGGTTGAATAGTTAGCATGACCCGTGTTGTTGTCAAAGAACTTCAGTGCATTGATGATAAGTACTGGCAGCAGCTGCAAAACATTTTCTTAAAGATATTCAGAGTTCCATATTGAAGTTATTGTATCCAACAAACGATGAATAAAATACACCACTTAGTGTGGTGATATTAACAACTGTAAAAATTCCAAAGTGCTAAATTTCAGGCAGGAACCTAAATAACCAAATGCAACCATCCCTGTTTAATATTGGATTTCTGCAGTAATATGCATTGAGTGATTGAATATTAATTAGTACTGGCATGAATGCGTGATGAGTCGGAAAAATCTAAACAAGATCCTGTGAGGTGGAGAAGTCAGATTCCGCTGCAGAGAGGGTAATTTTCTTCTTAAAAAAGCCAATTCTGATGAAAGAACATTGACCTGAAATGTTAACTCCGTTTCTTTCTCGACAGATGCTGCCAGATTCAGAGTGTTTCTAGCAATTTTTGTTTTATTCAAAGTGGTTTCTTTGGCAATTTATATAAAGGAGTTTTAAAATTAGGTCATATGAACGGAGTAAAGAAAATTAGTTTGCACATTTTTTTGAGCATTCAAGAGTGTTTGAAATAAATAATCAACTGCAGTGTGACTATTTAACACAATGGCAGCTATGTGGAAATTTTTGGTGCTGCAGCTTAGCGCTACGCTTGAGTTTAGACAGCTTCTGAGTCAAAGGACCAGGCAGTTTTATTGCAGGTAAGGTAGCAACTTCACCAGACAGCAAATTTAATATTCAGCCTTGTAGGAATTAAAAAGAAACTTTGACTTACTAAAGGCTCTAGGAAACAGCTGAGGTTCTTGTTCTGTTGAGCTTCCATTGGACAGAAGTAATTATCATTATCCAGGGAAATTGAGCATATTTTTCCTGTCTTCATGATTTCATTTAGGATACAGCTTTGAAAGAGCATTAGATGTAGTCTTATTTCAGGAAAGTCATAATTTGCAGATGACACCAAAATTGGTGGTGTCGTGAATAGTAAAGATTATTTCAGAGTGCAGTGGAACCTTGGTTAGATGGATTGATGGGCTGTGAAGTGGCAGATGGAGTTTAATTTAGATAAATGTGAAGTGTTGCACTTTGGTAATGCAAATCAGGGCAAGACTTGTACACTTAATGGTAGGGTCCTGGGGAGTGTTGCAGAGGAAGAAAGATGTTGGAGTGCACATTCATTGTTCCTTGAAGGTGCAGTCACAGGTAGACAGGGTAGTGCAGAAAGCGTTTGGTACATTTGCCTTTATGGTCATTGCATTGAATGTAGGAGTTGGACTGTCATGTTGCAGCTGTACAGGACATTGGTTGGGCCACTTTTGGAGTACTGTGTACAATTCTTGTCTCCCTGTTATAGGAAAGATGTAAATCTTTTCCGCACCCTTTCTAGTTCAACAAGGATGTTGCCAGGGTTGGAGGGTTTCAGCTATAGGGAGAGGCTGAATAAGCTGAGGCTATTTTTCCTGGAGCATTGGAGTATGAGGGGTGACCTCGTAGACATTTATAAAATCATGAGGGGCATGAACAGAGTGAATAACCAAAGTCTTTTTCCCCAGGATGCAGGAGTTCAAAACTAGAGGGTATAGATTTAAGGTGAGAAGGGAAAGATTTAAAAGGGACCTGAGGGGCAACTTTTCATGCAAAGCATGGCACGGATATGGAATGAGCTGCCAGAGGAAGTGGTGGAGGCTGGTACAAATACAACATTTAAAAGGCATCTGGATGGGTACATGAATAGGAAGGGCTCAGTGGGTTAGGAGCCATGCGGGCAAATGGGACTAGATTAATTTAGGATATCTGGTCAACATGGACAGATTGTACTGAAGGGTCTGGTTCCATGCTGTCCAACATTATGACTTGTATAAAACTTGGTGTTAAACAGCAGTAATGTGCACATGCAATGTGACAGCAGTTTGGAGAATTATGTTGATTTTCAACGATGTGCTGTGAGCATTTTGTGGTGTTTAGTGAATTAACTGTTAGCTAGATATTTGTCATGCTGCAGGATGTGATGGTAGGTTATAAGTCAAATATTCGACCTGCAGAAATAAGAAATGACTGACTTTGAGATCATCATTACATAATGCTGTAACTCAGGTTTCAGCCTCATTAGACTTTAACTTCGCAAAAATAGGCCTAATCTTTAAATAAAGCACACACCTTTTGGATCAGAAGCTTGAGGGTTCAAATCCCACTCTGGAGATAAACACATAATCCAGGCTGAATCAGCAGTATAACACTGTTACATTATTAGAGGTGCCAAACTTTGTGCAAAATGTTAAACCGAATTACACTTTCTTTTTGTCAGTTGTCATTTTATCTTCAGTAGCTGACAGTCGGGTTTCATTATATTCACCTCCTTTTTAGAATTAAGCCTTTTTGCTCCCTTCCACACTACCACCTAAAAGTAACTCTTTACAAAGAATTGCAAATACAAATCTACGCCCTACCATACTGTTGGTAGATGAACATGACATCAGTATTAGAGATTATGCTGTCATGTCTAATATGAATGATAATTACTGGTTGTGCACATTGTTCCCATAGAAATTTTTAGAACATATTTGGCCCTGTAATGCATACAGCTTAGTGGGTGGGTTCAACAATTTGTCAATTACACTCAAAGGACTCCAGTTCAGTTGTTCTGAAATTCTACTGTTTATAAGCAGAATAAATGCTTGTTTGTACCAAGTGCTAAACTGCAATGATGTCGTTTTCATTTTGTTTTCAGAACCCATTCAATTCTTTAATGTCCTTTCGGGAAGGAAATCTGCCAACCTTATCCAGTCAGGCTAACATTACTCCAGTCCAAAGTCTAATTGGTTTATCTCTGACTGCTTTCAGAAAAGGCCTAGCAAGCCACTTGTATTAGGCTGTGATGTGAAGTGAAATAAGACTAAAAGTAGATGCATCACTGAGCCATGACCGAGGCACCAGATATAGAATCAAAATCCTACAGTACAGAAGAGGCCCTTCGGCTATCAAGTCTGTACTGCCAAAGGTACACTACAACCGACGTTCGTCCCACATTCCCACACTCGGCCCACAGCCTGGAATATTATGGCGCTTCATGTGGTCATCCAAGTACATTTTAAAAGTTGAGGCTTCTGTCTCAACTACTCTCCCAGGAAGTGCATTCCGGATCCCCAGCATCCTCTCTGTGAAAAATGTTTTCCTCAAAACCTGTCTAAAACACCTGCCTTTCAATTTAAAAGGGTGCCCCCTTGTAATTGACCTTTTGACTAAGGGGATCAGCTGCATTCTATTCACCCCGTTCATGCCACTCATAGTTTTATACACCTGTCAG